GCAACGGTCCCGCCCACCCGCCCGCGCACCCCGCCTCGGCCCCGCCCCGGCCCTTCCGTTTTTTGGGCTTCCCCTCCCCTACTCAGCTCGCCACCGCCTTCTGAGCGTACCCTCCTCTGCTGCGCCTCGAACAATCTCCGTTCTCCACTTCACCGGGTTGCTGCGCCCCAGCTTCTCCAGACGACCCCCTACTCCTCCTCTTGCAGACCCCCACCCCACCAGGCCCGCCGCGCTTGGACCACTGGGAGTTGTAGTTCATCCTTGGGCAGGGTGATACGTTGAAGAGATCAAGGACAAAGGGGCGGTCAAGACTACATCTCCCAGTGGTCACGGCGCGCAGACATAGGAGGTTTGAGGGGGGCGTCTAATTCTTCGGCCGCTGGGGACCCCTGGCGGGGACGAAGGCTGTGTCTGTCCCAGCGAGTGCTGATTCACGGTCCCGCCCCATATGCTCCGGGAAATTACTGGGGGAGGATACTAGGACCAGGGGGTACTGGGGGGAAAGGGCGCGACCACTACTGCTCCAAACTGTCAGGGTGCTGCCTTCCTGAGGGATGGTTGAATTAAGGAGCCAAACCTTGGGGGGCTGTCTCCTTCTCGACAAGGTTCCAGCTCCCCATCCCCACCTTGAGGTTCTTGGACCTTATGGGTGAAAATACGAAAGACAAATACCAGTCGGACATTCTGGTTAATTTACAGAAAGGATGCTGCTGTTTGCAGGCTGACCCCAGGGTAGTCCCTTCTTCTTCTCCAGGGTGGAGTGTTGAAGATTCACTTCAGTTACCCAGAGCCTATTGTATGCTTAACACTGGGTTGTGTCTGGGGGTTGAGTCTGTCCCCGCCTAGGATGTACACACTGAGGTCTGGCTGACTAATTCTTGCTCGTATGCTTCCCTTTTTGACATTTCATGTAGCTCACACACCCCATAGTTTTGACTGCACATTGTATTTATTTCATTTATTCCACACTTCTCTATTGAGCACCTACTATGTTTCAAGCACAGTTCTAAGCAATGGGGTACAGCAGTGAACAAAAAAATTCCTGCCCTAGAAAATAGGCAAAATGAAGATACATGTGTAGAGTACATTAGAAAGTAAAAAGGAGTTTTTAAAAAAATAGTGGACATGAAGTGTTGTGTAAGAGAACAGAGAATGAAGGAGTTTCTGTGAAGGAATATTCCAGGCTATATGCTAGATTCTGGAGGAAGAGGGCATGGAACCCTGCCCTCAACGAATTCAGGATGTGTTAAGTGCTGTTGTTCTGTTTTATTTTATTTTATTTTTTAAATTCTTTCAGGCCAGAGAGGAAGAGTTCTGAAAAGCTTATGCAGGGAGTTTGGTAACGTTTCCAACCCAGCCCTTAAAGATGTGCAGGATTTGAGAGCAGGCAGAGGGCACAGTCAGCGAGACTAACAGGCAGGTTCCTCCTTGGCATGTTTATTGTTAGGCAAAGAATCCAGTGTGTTTGTTACCTGAAGTGATGGAGAGCAGGGCTTGAGGCTGGAATCAGGAGCCAGAACGTGAGGAGCCCTGAATGGCAGGCAAAGGAGTGAAGTCTTTCTTCTGAAATAAAATAGAAAGCCTGTGAGAGATTTTAACAAGGGCAGAAAATGATGAGATTTGCATCTTCTCTTTTTCATCATTGCTTCCTCCGTGCTGAGCCCGGTGCCTGGTACACCATAATATGTAGAATATACGAAATGAAGAAATGAATGAACGCATGCGTGCACTTCGGGAGACTGCCCTGGCAGGAGTGGAGGAGATGGACTAAGTGAGGAGTCTGGAAATAGCTCTCTTCTCCCCTCCTCCATCGTAGGATCTAGGCCCTCTCCTCTTACTACACCACCCAGCAAAATGCAATCCTGCTGGTGAATAAACCCTCCCACTTCCTTCTGTCTCTTACTTGAGTGTTCGCCAAGTCATTCCTCTTCCTTCCTCCCTCCCTGCAGACCAGGTCTGAACCATTCTTTCCTGGGCATCGCAGGTCTGTGGGAAGGAACCCTTACAGCCAACCCTGGCTGTCCACATGTGGATTAAATGTGTCAGTGATTCAAGCCCCAGATGCTAAATCTCGGGAACTTCCTGGCACATTTCAGGCTGCCTCTCTGACCTCTCCATCTCAGTTCCTTCCCCCACCAGTCCAATGTGCTTTTTTTTTTTTTTAATTTATTTTTTGGGCCAAATCTGTTTGGGAAAAGTAAACCAGATGCAAAGAAAAGGATATTCCAAAGCCAAACAGGAATAACATCTGCAGTCTCCACAGCGGCGGGGCTTCTCTCCAACGGTGCAGGGGTAGAGTTGGCCCTTCCTTCCTTTCCTGTTTTTTGTTGTTTTTTTTTTTTTAAGACTCTAGGCTTAAAGCTGCAGCTGCCCAGCGGCCCCTGGCTGTTCAGAGGGCTGCTTCAGAGGCAAGGTGACTTTACACAGAGCAAATGACTTAATAGTCTGGCTTTCTCCTCCACGCCTGGGTACTGCTGAAAGAAACCTGGAGCAGGGAGGTAAAGAACTAGTGTTCTGGCTTCTGCCTGGCCCCCAGCTCCATTCGCCTATGCCCTCTCTGAGTCTTAATTTCCCCATCTTTGAAGTGAGAAATTCAACCAAGTGAGCGCTAAGTGCTCCGCCTAGCTGTGACAAGGCTCTAGATGCAGCCTGTTCCTCTTCTGAAATGGAAGGCGACCTGCATTCTTTAGCTGTGGAAACAGGGAATCTATACCTGCAGACCTGGGAGATGGTTCAGCTCCAGAGTTGAGAGGCTCTGAATCATCCCTGTTTTTTAGACTTGGAAGCTGAGACACAGCAATCTCAGCTGTGTGACCAGCCAAAGGTCACACATCAATGACCGATAGAGCCTGAATCCAAACCCAGGCAGATCTTCTGGACTTGCAGTCACAAGGGCACCCTTTCCTGCCCAGGCTATGAGAATCTACCCCTTGGCATCTGCTCAGGAAAGATGGGGCCTTGCCCTCTGGTGACCGGTCTGACACAAGGGCAGGCACTCTGCATGGCTAACCCTTAGCCCCATCTCCAGTGCCGGGGGATATGACCTTTAGATGCATCCTCTCCAGGCCGAGTTGGCGGACAAGCAGGCCAGCCGGAGACACTAGTGTCCTGCTGTTTCTGTGCAGTCATAAATCACTGCAGCCCCAACCCCTGGCTCCTGGCTTCCTCCTGTGGCTAGAAAGCTCCCTGATTGGTGCGGAGGAGGAGCAGCAGCAGCAGCATCTCCGAAGCAGACCAGCCATGCTCCCCGCCCTGTCCTCTGGGAACACTTCCCAGCCACTTCCCTAACAGGCTGGTCTGCAGTAGGGGCAGAGCACGTGACAGATTCAGAGGCGAAGGACAACAGGGAGATCTTGGTGGGCTGCCTCTCCTCCTGAGGATCCTGGGGCAGTGGAGGAAGCCTGTGCTGGGAGGCAGGACCCACAGGTTGAAGCCTTAACTTTGCTATTGATCTTGCTGGGTGACCTTGAGCAAGTCACTTTACCTCTCTGGGCCTCAGACTGTATATCTGTAAAATAACAGAATTGGGTGGATTTTTCTTAAGATTGTCTAGCCTATAGCAATAGCCTTTCAACTGCCCTATCTTAGTGTCTTTCCACCCTCTCCAGTACAAGATCTCAAAGATCTTTCCAAATGTGCATCCCATCTTCTCCTTCCCTGGCCTTTGCTCTGCCATACATGCCACTCCCATTACATATGGGTCAAAGTCCCTGCTCCTTAGCCTGGAATTCAAGGGCTTTCCTAAGGCTCCCGCTTACCTCTCCAGCTTCGTCTCACATAGGACACTTGACTGGCATTTCCCGACCAAGCCATGCCCTCTTCCAACTCTGGGCCTTTTCAAAAGCTGTTCCTTTTGCTGGGAACTCCTACTCTTACCCCCAACCCCATCCCCTATTCAGTCCTACCTCTTCATCTTTTAGACTCAGACACTGCATGATGAACTGACCACTCCTCCTCGGTGCTCCTACCAGCTCCCAGCACGGGTTTTAGACCTCGTTACTACACTCGTATATATGTGACTCTGTCTTCCCCTGTCGTCTTACAGATGGATTCCTCAAAGACAGAGACCCATCTGAGTCATCTCTGAGCTCCGAGCCCAGCAAGGAGCAGGTGCTCAGGGAAGTTCTGTTCGATGAAACAGACTCTGCTTCAAGAATGAGTCACCTGGTGATGATCTTACCTCTTGAGGAGGACTTGAAAGGTTTTGCCCCAAAACAGACAGCATGGTCAAGTTGCAGTCAAAACTCAGGAAGGCAGAAATGTAGACAATCCTAGGAGCCAGTAGGGCCACAGAGAGAAAGGATGGTCTTGAAGAAGATCGAGACAGAGGATTTCAAAGAAGGGCCTGTTGACATGTGGCCGACAACCCCACAGAAATTCTCTGTTCCGAGTGTCTGGGGCTGACTGCTTCTTACCAGGCCAGTGTTCCTAAATGTAGGGCCTCTCAGATCCCCTAAAACTGACTGGACTGGAAGGAGGGAGAGATTGAAAAGTCTAATACATCTTTACATTTTAAGCCTTGCATTCCCCTAAAAAGAGCCCACTGCAAAATTTATCACACCAGGGAAATGTCCATCACCATAAAAAATAGGCCATTGTCTCAAACAAAGAGATAAACTGTCCCTATTGTCAAGAGATGGACATTAGAGGGCAGAGGAGTCTGGATAGAATCTTCTCCTGAAACTCAGCTGTATGAACTTGGGCCAAGTGCTTCACCAATCTGGACCTCGGATTCCCCACTGAATCTTAAAGAGAAATCTCCACCATGCCCTCCACATTGGACTGGGAAACAAACGCATTCTTAACTTGGTAGAGGGGTCTGAAGTGAGGGTTTTGATGCTTGAAACTCCAACAAAGGGCAAATGACTCATGGGAGACCTACAGTGATGGATGACAGCCTGCTGACCACAGGGAATGAGGCAGGTGCTTTTTGTTAGAAGAATCCAAGCTGCAGAGAGCCTATCAGTTTCAGTGCATTTCTAGGAAGCAATTGCTCCATCAGCTTGAGCTGTCTGGTGATGGCATGGGCTGAGTCTAGAGAGGGTGGGACAGGAATCAGAGGTCAGGGACCAGCAGATAAGTAGAGCCCAAAGACCGGCCACTCAGAGATGATGCTGAGCAGTGGTTCTCAACCTGACTGGGCATCACAGTCCCCCAATACCTGAGGGGAACTTGTCGAGAATCCAGAGACCTAGGTCCAGCATACCGGGTCAGATTCTCCAACAGTAGGGTCTGGGAACCCGTATGTTCTCCAAACTCTCTGGAGGTTTCTTCCACCATCAGTGGTCTGCCAGAGTGACCTCAGAAGGCCCTGAAAACTCTGAAGAAGGCCAGGTTAGGTTGCTCAAATAGGAGGAGTGGCCATGAGGCCTTCTGAGAGCTGGCTGGAAGAGGTAGGAAACTGGCATTTTCTTGTGTTGGCCATTCTGCTGAGTCAGCCGAGCACCAGTGCTTCCAGAGTGCAAATCCCACTTGATCATGTGTTAGGAACGCTGGTGCTGCCTCAGCAGGCAGCCAGGGCCCAGGCTGCACCAGGGGACAGGAGGTAGGCGCAGACCCTGAGCATCAACTCCTTGCTCTGAGCCTGGGGACAGACAGGAGCAAAAGGCACCCCCTCTGCACTAAGCCTTGAACAAATCGAGATGACTCAGGAGCATGGGGCCTGCGCTGTCTTCTAGGTTTCAAAACCAGCCAGATTTCCTGTCTTCCTGGAATTGGAGTTGGTAAACCTGAAGGGACAGCAGAAGGACCCTTATTCATGCAGTAGAGAAATCCTTTACATAGCACCCCATCTCCTGGGTGTCAGCCCTGTGAACACACCCCCAGCCACAGGCAATTCACGGTTTCCTGAAGTCCCCCTTCCTCCGTGGGACAACACTCAAGTTCTCAGACCCTTTTCCCCATCGTTCCCCATTCTGCCTTCTGGTGTTATAGGAAAAAGGAGAACGCTTCTTCTCCCCAAAAGCCTTTTACATTTAAGGCCAGAACATGTGAAGCCCTTTTGTCTCCACATGGGACAAGTTTCCCCAGGAACAAAGAGCAGACTTTAGCACATTCTTTTTTCCTTCATCTATAATGCCTGCTGCATGATGGGAATGGAGAGATGGCCAAAATGATGGATGGCGGGGACATGTGGTACTAAGCTCCTGACCCCCTAACTTGAGAAATGTGTGTCCAGAGGGATATACAAGGCCTAAGAGCACTTCATGACAAGTGGAGGTTGGGCCTCCAACCCGAGGGCAGCCACCCCCAGTCTAGGCTGAGCCAGGTGCCTACATCAAAGGCTGCCCCCAGATCTATAGTCAGTGCTCTGTGATCCTCTCCCTAAGTCCTCACCTCAGTTTCGAACAGTCAGATGGCAAGGAAAAGCCAATAAACGAGAACAAACAGGAGAGCATATGCATTTGTCCCCATTCCCCCACAGACAGGAGAGAGGCCACACTATAGATGAGGAATCCAAGACACAGAGAGGTTAAGTAACCTGTATAGGTCACACAGCTAGTAAGTGGAGGGGCTGGGTCATGAAGGAGGTTCATATGTCTCCTGTTCTTCATCAGGGAATTTCTTCTTCTTTCTTGGCCTCTTCTCAGAGTCAATGAAGGCAGGCCTGACTCCCTACACACAGCTGGATTCACTTCTAACCTCTCCTGTGGGAGGATGCAGATAAAGCTGGTTAAGAGGAGGGTACTGAGAGAGGAAGCTAATGACCTGCTCACTCATGGGAGTGGGAAATAGTGCGGTCTCCAGGCGGGTGAGTCAAAGCCAAGGCCCTCCTGGAGAAGCTGGAGGGACAGCAGTTTCCAGATGTACTGCCCAAGGCTGTGGCTGTCCATGCCGGGTTCAGGGGGCTGGGGCAGCAAACAGAGCACTGGAGACCCGCAGTACTGAAGACACTGGAGGCAGAGCACCAATGATGTGCTGAATAACCTTAAACAAATGACTTCTCTTTCCTGGATCTCTGTCTCTCCTTTGCAAAATGAGGAACCAACGATCCATCAGCTGAGAACAAGCCCCTCAGGTTAATACTAAAATCTTTACATTCTCTGGCCTTTGCTGAAAAGATTCAAACTTCAGTTATCCTGTGTAGATCAGCAGCACTCAATGAAATCATGGGGATTTCCTGGGTTCTGGGGTGGGGAAGGGAGAGGAGGATAGATAAAACCAGTCCTGAGAAGCCCCAAGGCTGGGAATCTCAGAATGGACCAGATGCTGCCCTTCAGACTCTTCAGCAAGGGAAGATTTCAAGCAAGGGAGATATGGGATCAGATTTGCATTTTAGAACATCCACTCTGGCAGCTGGAGTAGAAGGTGGATTGGATGATGAGACCAGAGGAAGGGAGACCATTTGGGGGATTCCTGTAATAGCCCCTGTGCGAGGTGGTGAGAGTGAGGTTAGGGCAGCAGTGAAGGCTGTGGGAGAAGGGAGATGCTCAGCGTGACTCCTGGAAAAGCGGTTTGGCGGGGACAGCCCCATCCTCCCAGATAGAGCATCTGAGTGAGATGTACAGGCTGGGTCTAGACACAGAAATTTGATTCATAGTGGGTAGTGGACCTGTGGGCCTCAGAAGAGTATAAATGAGCAGGCGGTGAGGTATGGGGGAGGCCAGCAAACATGGGTTCAGAGGAGACCTGAAGAGATCACCAGGAAAACCAGGAGTCCATGTGACTCAGGGAGCACAGAAGGACGTTATCATCATTCCTCATGGTGCTCCATGGTGCCCCCGATGCCTGCGGAAAACCGTAAGGACGGAAAAGAAGGCCATTTCAGGAGTTAGGGCATCTGTGTCAACCCTGGCAAGTTCAATTTTAGTAAAGCTAAACTGTAGTGGTTCAGGATGGCAGAGGGTAGAGAGGCGGCAAAGTAGGATTTGTTTTCATGACTGTTTTCAGCAGTAATTTAATGGTCTGATAAAGGAGAGAGAAGCTGATAATGCTGGTGGCTCAGGGCATAGGGAAGGTTTCCTTTGTCTGGAAGAGGCTGGGGTTGTTTAAATGCTCAGGGGAAAGAGTGTGGAAACAGAGAGGCTGGAAGGATGGGGGGGTGGGGAAGGAACAGGTGGGTGAACTGACATGGGGGAGGTCAGGAGCCCTGGAGGAGGGGTCAGCTGGGATGGAAGGTAGCTAGGGTGGACTTCTGAGTGGAGAGCAGGGAGGTTCCTGGGAATCTTATCCTCCAAGCAGGAGAAGCTGAAGTCATCCGCTGAGTCATGGGAGGAGGAGGGGAGGAGGTTGATGAACAGGCTGAAGGTTTGAGGGAGCCTCTGGGGAGGGTGGGGGAGTGAGCTGGGAAAAGGACCAGCTGGGCCTGGAGGCCGTGTGCACTGGGCCCCCATCTGCCTGGCCCCGTGGTTTTCTCCAGCAGCCCTCAGCAGTGTGGGCCAGGAGCTGAGAAGGTCGAGGTCAGCCCACCCAGGGCAGGCAGTGGTCAGCTGTGCCCAAGGGACTGGGGGAATAGGGGGCACAATATATCAAAGGAGTGAGTGCCAGGATTGGTCAAGGACCAGGTGAGGTGGGGAAAATAAAGGCTGGAGAGGGGTCAGAGGCCAGAGGGTTCAGAGTTCCAGTAGAACAGGTAGAAGGGAGCAGTGAAGTGGGGGTGCCAGAGCATCAGCAGAGTGGGAAGCCCCCCAAGACCCACAGAAAATTCTGGGGAGTAGACATGGGCTAGGGCTGAGGCCCGGGTTTGAGTTGGTTCCCTTGAGAGGCTCTGATGGATAAAGCTCTGACCTGTGGCTGCTGGAAACCTCAGAATGGGGCAGGGTCTGGGGAAGGAGGAAAACTACAACCAAGGGCCAAAGGAAGGCCACCCAGGAACAGACTTTTGGGGCCCAGGGATGGGTCACAGAGCTGCGAGGCCTAAGCCCCAAGGAAGGGGGTCCCCTCAGGCATTTGGAAGAAGCAGGGCAGCCTAGTGGCTTGAACCTCCACACCTTTCCGCTCTGCCTGGCACAGGGGCCCTGCTACCCTCGCACCTTCCTTCCATAACTCTAATCTCTGGGCTAGCACTTCTACCGCAGAAAGACGGGGACAATTCGGGCCTCTTGAGCTTCACAACCAGGGAAGAGGAAGCCAAGGGCTTGAACAAAGGGGAACATGACTA